TGGTAGGATTATGTCCCAGCAATTATTAGGTACTGCAATGGTTCGACGCTGGGACGAACAAAATTAATCAGGTTCAATTTCGTTGAAACCAATCCAATCATAAAACGATGAGATAACAGGCTATGATCCTGATTGGTCCGCTTTTGTCGCTCGCCAATTATCAGCTTTCGGTTGTAGCACTGCGGTACTTGATGTGTCAGCATTTGTTTCTGTTTTGCAGTTGAGTGTTCGTTTTATCTTTTAAGGAAACAGTCTTTTAGTAGCTTGAATTTTCTGAGATTTCTAAATGCCTGACTATGCTTACTAATTTCTGATCGCACATGCCTCTATTCCTCAGCAGCCTTGAGGAACTGGAAGACTGTTAGCATACCAGTGCATATTTGTACATCTGATTATGCAGATGAGGGTTTTGGTTCATAATTTGATTCGTTCCATAGTTTCCTGGTAATTATACTAAAAGGTAAAATAAAATGTACCACGTGATCAGGCCGCTACTCAGCGGCGAATCGCGCTGGCCCGTAAAGTTTCGCTACCCGCAGATAGGGCTAACAGTGGCCTGGCGAATTTTATGCCGAACGGGTTCCACAGTTCTGCCCGGCTTTTACTGATGCTGTTGCAGCATTTGATGAATTGACCTCTAACCACAATGTAGTGGCAGCCTTTTCTCTTCAAAGGGTCAAATCGCTTTCGCCTCGTCATGAGACTGCCTTTCGGCACTGTGTCTTTTCCCTAAGGAACGAATTTGTCGAGCTCGAACCCAGCCATGCCCTGAAGGTATCACGTTTGCCTCTCCGCCAACGTCCACATCTGTATGTTATTCCGCTTTCCGGAACCTGGCGATGCCTCAAACAGTTGTCAGCATATATATTGTTAAGTGCTGAAATAAACGATGACTGTATGCTATCAGTTCTTCATATAATACGTATAAACTAAAGTGCTGCCGATAACATACACCGTCGGAGAAGAGATGGCTGTGCTCCGTCTTACTGAGGAAATTGTTGAGCTGGTCAGAACTCACGAAGTCATCGCCTAGAACTTCATTTGTGACCGGGCTGAGGAGCAAGCAAACTTTCTGTCCAAGACACCTAGCTAAAACCGTTTGACATGATCGAATCATATGGAAATTACAAAGAAATATGGCCTTCAGCCCCTTGCATGCTGCCTGATTCAGACTACGGCAGCGATCCGAGGATATTTGTCTTGCAGGAGATCCTAACGATCGTAGGTGAAAGGCCACCGTACACAATGATTAGGTATCATTGATATTAGTGTCATAAATACATACAGAAGGTCAGGCTAATCTACCACTCGCATATACTTAGTCTGTACACCGATATATTGTATGCGTTTGCATAAGCTTTTTTCAGCAATTTTATGTAATAGGTGCCAGATAGTATTAAGGCCAGCGAAAGTAAGCGATTGGTAGAAAATGATGCAGTATATGGATATTAGTGGCGGAGATTGGCGAAGAATGCAATAATGAACGATAGTTATTCCTGAACGGGTAAATGACTCTCACGAGTGAGGTTGTCGATAAAGAAGAACCACCCATTAGAGCTTCATGGGATTTCGCTGGACTTTTCATCTCATACCAATTATCTGCTATCGAAACCCTTGGCCATGTTGCTAATATTTTCGCATACAGGAGATTAGTTACAAACTTTTCAATATGGTTCATACTTATTCGTTTTCTTTCCGTGCGAAATGGCCATGTTTTTGTCCTTCAACGTATCCAGAAGTAAGCCAATGATTTGATGATAAGTTTCTCGACTAAGATTGAGGCCGCTATCATTCTGAACAAGTTCTTCTACTAAATATACACGCTATTAAGATTCATATTTATGTTTCGTGAGTGCGCCAAAATCACCGTACTCTGCTTCAGCGAGACCACCGTTATCGGTGTAGTGGGTCTGGCAGAACGCGAAGGTTTGGGGTCAGAGGTGATCAACGATTTGAGGGAATTCTTTTTTGAGGTTACAATCTTCTAAACATAATCTAGCGGTGAATGAAGAATCATACTTCCTAAGGAGACAAACCTTGTACTTTGATAGGATGGCCCTGGTCATGCAGTTTTCTTCTTTCAGCTGGCAGAGTTGTTCTTTGAGGTAGCGATTTTCGGACAGGAGGTCATCGACGTCCGTGAAGCACGAGCAGTCGCCGTTCATCATAGCCGCCATCTCTTGATTTACTCGGTTTAGCTTTGTTTTGTACGCGTCTCTCTCGATTACCAGTTCCTCCTTTTCTGCTATTACAAACGATAGGTCGTTTTTAAGCTGATCGCGCTAAACATCCAAAACGGTCAAACGAGCTGAAGAACAGACTGATTGGTATTTACACCTATAGTCATCTATTTTTTGACGCTAACCGTTCCATTCAATTGTATAATATAATCATGTTTGACTAATTCAACCTTAGCAACGGTTAGCCTAACTGTAATCAATGCTTACACTGAATAAAATTAAAAAATTGGTCAGAACGTGGTCGCATATACCACTATACTCTGTGCATTGTACAGATTATTTAAGATATTTTAAGATTTTAATTTACTGAATCGTCC